CCAGAGGAGGACATACCCCACCTCCCTACCCGTAGTTTGCTACATTCCATCCATTTCAGCAGACACCTGACTGGGTTGTTTTCCTCACTGTATTGGTACTATTGGGTGGATATGGTCCTCTTTTTTCTTTTTTTTAAATACCACACACTCACGCGGATGGCCCGTCTATTCTCAGGGGCGTCAGTCCGCTTGCTTATCACCGGCAAGCATGATCACAGCAAGGTTTACACAAGGAAGTGCACAGAAAATGTCCCCAACCCGTAGCAATCCAGGACCCGATTTCCAGCAGGTGCAGCTCCTCTTTTCAGAAAAAAAAATAATAATAATTATTGTTTTTTTTTTTTAAATCCAGGGTTAACCGACCCCCCATTTTTCACCTCAATTTATAAGAAAACCATAAGGCCATCCCAAGCAAACTTCACACCAATCTATAGAGTGCACTTCTTACTAACATATTATAAAAACAATACCAAAAAAAAAAAATTAAAAACACATAAAACAGCAACTCAAAAGTGCATTTTCAGGCAATTTCGCCAAAAAACAACTTCATCAAAATTTCAGGATTTGCAGGATGATTAACAGCACAAATTCTAGTAACCCAAATGACACCAAATTTGACACACAGCAAGCTTGTCCTAAAACAAAAACAACGACTGGGTACCAATGCGAGTCTGCTGGTTGCCTCCACAAGTGGTTAACGGGGCACTCTATAGATTGGTGTGAAGTTTGCTTGGGATGGCCTTATGGTTTTCTTATAAATTGAGGTGAAAAATGGGGGGTCGGTTAACCTTTTCTCGTTTTCTTATGGTTACTAGTACTTACTTCGCTAAATTCTTCTCTCAATTCACCTTTCTCTCTCTAGCTATCAGTACTAAGACTATACAGGGGACCCTTGCAGCATATGGGGTTTGGTTGGATTGACTATTTAACGTTTACCTATTATTAGTTTTCTTATCGTGTAAATTTTTTATTTTTTTTTCCTTTTTGGTTCTGGTTTGCCTGGTGCAGCATGTCTGTGGAAGCAATTTCTCCAATTTTGCTTCTCCACACATACAAACAGATCTCCATTCGCAGTATGTTCCAGTCCTCCAACTCCAGCCCCGGACTACCACTGGTGGGAAAAGCAATAAAAACAAACAAACAGATCTCCATTCACACCAGTACATGGACTCCTGGGCGGCGGGCCTGACACCTCAAATTCTGGAGGCGCGAAACCCAAACGCCACCGCCGATCGATTTTATCAATATTGGGCCGCCCAGCGTTTGACGTTTCGGCCTCATTTTCCTGTGGGGACAACTTTCGGACAGCAAGGCTGAGGCCGTGTACTTGTGGTTTAAGGTACACCTTTCCTCCCCCCCCCTTTTTTTAATGGCAAGTCTTGGTTCTTTGAACACCTTGGAGAGTCCTATGGGGAGAACGTCTCAAGTTCACATCCGGCCGGGTTGTTCTTTAAAAAAAAAAAAAAAATAAAAAAAATAAAAAAAAAAAAAAAGAATGACAATGGCCGAAACTAACCCCTCATTGTGAAGTGCCACAAATTTCCACTATGTCGATGCATCATAATTGAGCAGATGCAGTGGAATGATTTGCACCTTGCTTTCTTTTTTTTTTGGGGGGGGGAACCATATGGTTGGGTGGGCAGTTCATGCTGATTTCCAGTTTTCCCCTTTCTCCTCATTCTATTGGTTGGACTTGACTGGAAATGGTTGGATTTTATTTTAGCTGATTCGACGTTGATCTGGAATTTTCTCTTTGCCCTGCTATAGTTTCCTTCCTGGTCTTGGTTCTGTAGGGTTTCATCATTAGTGGATTGACTATAGTAGGGCGGAGTTCAAATTTTGCATGGAGCGGGGTCAATCCTTTTTTTTTTTGAAAGCCCTTTCATAAGCCCACTATCTGCACGGTGGTAAGAGAACCGCAGGGATTGAGGGTCTCTTTGTCGGGCTGCTCCATCTATTGGTGGGGAGCAGCACCTGCTGGGAACCGGGCCCAGCGTCCCATTGAAAACATCATTAAGCACAAAGTTTTCTGTTTGTTTCCTAGGGCTTGTGGGCAATTCTGTTCACAGCCTGGGGCTCCCTATTGGGGAAGCAATGAATGCCCCTTGCTCATGTTGCACTCTTGTGTTGATGAAATAACAACCCGATTCACAGATGAGTGGCTGGGTCAAAAGAGAGCTATGGCAGATCTTCAAGACTCCCGACTATGTTGGAAGAACTGGAGGACGGAGGAGCACAAATGGTCCCTGAAACCTTATGAACACTTCTCGGTCCCGCTAGACGCTTCTCCGCCTTCCTTCGTTCTCCTCTAGAAAACATGATACAGACCCGGGTGGCCCTTACACCCCCTTCCCCCGTCCCCCACCTCCTTCTGACCATTGGATACTTGTACAGAAGGGCCAGCAACGCCACAATTAGGTGCGGAACCGACGGACGATATAGCCTGACAAAAGATGGCAGGAGAAACCGAGGCCGGCAAGGAGGGTAACCGCATATCAACAATTTCCAAGTGCATATCAGAGAGCAGGTCCTTGGGGGGGGGGGGTTCCTTGGCAGGATCACAGCAATGCTGAAGAAGGGGAAGGTGGGACTCAGAAACAGACCAGACCAGGTCAACAGTAGGTGGGCAATCCACAGCTATGACAGACAATGGGTCCGGCCTTCGAAGAGCCTCTGGAGGACATCCGAAGAAATCTGGGATGGAAGGTCTTCCTCGCTGCCGGGTTATACGATGGAGGTAAAAGACTGCATGAGAAGCGGAACAGATCCCTCTTCAGCATTGTCCACGGGGGCTTCGTGTGCTGATCTTCGCGGTCATCACCCTGTATCTCATTGCCTACCATCCCGTGTCAGCATGGGTTTATAGTCTTTGCTCTTCGTTACCCTTGTTATCACCTGGCATCKCAKTGCTTGGTATTCCATATCATGCTGCATTCTTTTCTGCCTGMTGGCAATAAGGATCGTTAAAATATTGAGCATGGCTTCAGAAAGGGTTTAGGGTTTAATGGGGTTTGGGACAATCCATGGGCTGCGATTAAAATGGCATACAATAGGGTGACAATACATAGGGGGGCTGCAAAATAGGGTAGGTCCAATGGACAAGGATGCTCCAAGATAAGATGGGAAACACAAGCAGCTCCAAGGGAAAGCGGAGCTCCAGGTTTAGAAGTGAAACGACCTTAGCCCTGCAAATGAACTATGTACTCTGTACTGCAAGATGTTCAAAGCGACGCTGGACCCGGTTTCCAGCAGGTGTCGCTCCCCACCAATAGATGGAGCAGCCCGACAGATAAGCCCTCAATTCTGACGGTTCTCTCACCACCGCCGGAATAGTGGGCTTACGCAGGGGCTATTCAAAACAAAAAAAAAGTAAAGGGAAACTGCCTCCGCGGGAGCAGTGGCTGAGGCTCTTCCACCCTTAATGGGAAGAGGCGTGTGTTTGCGTTGTATTCAACTTCATAAGCTGAGCCTTGGGCACTGGGCCCCTTTGGGGGAAAAAAAAAAAATGGAATTGAGTTTTACCCCAAAAAAAAAAAGAACAAAAAAAAGAAAAGAAAAGAAATGGAATTGAGGCTGGGGACCTCTCAATTCTACCCAGACTGGGGCCATTACCCAGCTTTGGCTGATGCTGGAAACTTGTAGATTATCCCAGTTCTCCTCCCTAGTAAAGCCGGCGCAAGTAACGTTTTTTTTTTTTTTTTTTTTTTTTAAACAAAACACCCCCCACTGGGGATAGTGGTGCTGATAAGAGCAGACACCGCTACCACCCGTGGAGAGGCTCCATCTATTGGTGGGGAGCATCACCTGCTGGAAAACGGGTCCAGCGTCCCAAAGACAGATTGTCAACAGTCTCTCTTTTTTTTTTTCTTTTTTCTTTTTTTTTTTGTTTAAAAAAACAAGCTCCATCTATTGGTGGGGAGCAACACCTGCTGGAAACCGGGTCCAGTGTCCCATAGATACAACCATGTCCTCTCAAATTGGTACAAGCTGGGAACCGGGCCCACCGTCCCATCGCGAATACGATCAGAACCTCATCAGACTTGAAGCTTGTCAAAGTCATTTCTGAGTAGTCTAGAAGCTTTCATAGCTAATAGCCGGGTACTGGTTCCGGCAGCTTAAAACTCTTACCTACGTCTTACCATTACGATTTCGGTCATCATCATAAGGGATGCTGAGCCCGATTCTCAGTAAGCTTGGTTACGTACCTAGGCTAACAGGAGTCTTTTAGGCTCCCTGTCTCATTTTCACAAAATTTTCTGATGAGGTTCTGATGAGGTTCTGATCGTAAAAGACCATATGAAGGATCCCTGCCAGCATTGATTACCCTGAGCTACGGGGGATTGACTGCACGGAACAGCGTCCATAACGAAATCACTCCTGTGCTCATCAATGGCAGTACCTGATGCAGCACACCTCTTCCCACCTCTTTCCCTCCCCGCGCAACTGAGGCCAAAGAAAGCATACTCGTGCCGCAGACTCTCCTATGTACTTATTTGACTGCAATTGCAACACCTCGACGATACCTTAGACCAACTGTGAGCATGCCCGGGGACGAGGAGCTTGTGTGTGGTCTTGTGCAGCCGCAAACATTCTGTCGTGTTCTGAAGCCGAAGCCGGATAATGGCGCCGGTAGCAAATATGCATGTGTATCTGCGGGACACTGGACCCGGTTTCTAGCGGGTGAAGCTACCCACCAATAGGCTGGAGCAACCGCAGGCTGGGTCGCTAGGGAGGGCTCTGCTCATATCACCCCTCCCACTACCCTTAGCGCCCCGCTGTGGCTTAAAAAGAAAATGGGATAATTTTATTAATTTCCAGAATACCCCCGTAAGTTGAGATATATGCCAAAATGTCCCTAAAGATGCGATTGGAGTGGAACACCCCTCTGAGAAGAAAAATAAAATTACAAAATACCGCTCGCGTCGGTTGGACCCCTCATCTTTGCAAAATACCCCTACCGGGTACCGTCCATCTTTGACATATGTCCCGCTACTTGTCAACTTTTCAGGGCCGATTTATTTTCACTTTAGCCTACGGGCCACGGTCATCTTGGGCATTGCACCTAACCATTATTCGCCTTGAATGCACCTGTTGACAAACATGACCAGGTGCATTCCACCCACATTTTCCCCCAATTCACCTCCTTGATCTCCTCTTCCCACTTTGACATCGCTGCCCAACCTTCTCCCGCTCCCTGATCTCACCATCTCTGTCCATGCCTGTGCCTCCCCCAATTGGCAGATCTCTCCTGTCCTACCTCCAGCACTGTTTCCCCCGTGTGCCGCCCAACATCGCTTTCCATTCAGGCGCCTCACCTTCGCTTCCTGATTGCTACACCTCATCCTAGCCTTCCAACCCCCTCTCCCTCGATGCCCCTCATTATTCCCCCCATCGCAATCCCTCTCCCCTCCGCATTGCAACCCCTGCTCGCTCAATACCACTCCAATCTCAATCCTCTTCCACCATCGCGATCCCTCTCCCCTTCGCCAATCTTTCATCTTCCTCCTACTTGCCTTTTCCCCCGCTGTGCCTCCCTTTTCCCATGGCGCTTGCTCATACGCGCATTCTCCCCCACGATCCCCATGGCGCTTGCTCATACGCGCATTCTCCCCCACGATCCTCCCCCGCCTGCTGCATCCCGATCCCATTGCCCCACCACTGCCTCTCGGCTCCAATCCCGCTTCCACCTCCAAACACCCCCACCAGTGTTAGTGGTGCTGATAAGAGCAGACACCACTACAGTCTTCCCCCGAATACAACGCACGGACATTATAGCTGAATTTGGTCTATTTTTCAGTCTAAATTCAGCTATAATGACCGTGCGTTGTATTTGGGGGAAGACTGTAGCACCTGGGGAGAGGCTCCATCTATTGGTGGGGAGCATCACCTGCTGGAAAACGGGTCCAGCGTCCCATCTACAGACTGAAATTAGAGTACATCAGAGAAAACAATGTAGGAAGTTCCTGCCCGCATTGATTACCCTGGGATCCAGGTGATTGACTGAGCAGGACATTGAAAAGAAAGAAAAAAGGAGGGGAACCTCTTCGCCCTTAACCCGGCGCCAGATACCAGCTGCTACACCCTTTTTTCTTTTTCTTTTTTCTTTTTTTGGAAAAAAGCTCCATTTATTGGTGGGGAGCAGCACCTGCTGGAAACCGGGTCCAGCGTCCCATAGATACAACCATATCCTCACAAATTGGCACAAACTGGGAACCGGGCCCAGCGTCCCATAACGAGTACGCTCAGAAAACTTCMACAGAAAATTCATGAAAATGAGACGAGGAACTACTAGAAAAATCTAATTAGCCTAAGGATGGAATTTTTGGAAATAAACCGGGGCCTTTGGCTCGAAAAAAATGGAGTTGCTTCAGACATGTCTAGGACAATCTTTATGATTAAGCGAAATTCAGAAACGATTGAGAAAACCCCCCATCAATCCACTATACCTCACTCCGGCAAGACTCACTGCTGCTATGCCATACTCCCATCCTACCAGCTAGCCCCCTCACTGGTAGAACGCGTGGTAACCCACCATCCTCTCCCACTCACCTTATCTTCTTTTTGAAATACCCAAGAACTCTTACCGTCGTTCCAGAAGCATGAGAATAGGCCACACCCTAGTTCCTCCAAAAAAGAAACTGGAAAATGACTGGAAAAAGCCTGCCAGCTTTGAAAAATCAGCTGATCCCCCTCTCCTTCTTCTACCTTTTGTCTGGTCAGGGATCTGGGGGGAGCCACTGGGGGGCACCAGTGGGGCCTCCTCCCGTCACCCTGCCCATCCCCGAAAAAGGATCACTCCCAAAAAACCTTTGCTTCAATACTGACCTCTGTCGGGTGCGCCCTCGCTTCGTCAGAAAAACAGAATAAGATAGGGAAAAGGAAGAAAGTTAGAAGCTTTTGCAGATTGGAGTGGGTTCTGAAAGTCTGAGGGATTCACTAGGCAGGGGTTTATAGACGTACTTCCAGAGACCCTGGGGGGGGGAGGAACGGGTCTGGAAAATCCTCTGCAGGTCTCATAGGGATACTTATGTCTATCGACAACCACTCCTTAAATCTCAGGCGATAGTCCCTTGGGACTTCCTCTCCTTGGCTGCCTTCCCTTCCCTCCTCTCCTTCCCAATCCCCTGTCCAGCATACTTCAGCAACCCATCCCTCCCATTGGTTGAGCTTCGAATAGACACCGAAACCGCTATAGGATGAGGGGTTATTTTTCCCTCCCTTCCTCTCGTTTTGTGGACGTAGAAGGGGTTTTCTCTGCCTTCGTCTGAGTCAAATTTCTCTGAAGGAGGGCAAGGGGGGGGTTAGAACCGGAGGATGGAATTTAGTCAAAAGGTCTCAATGGAGGAATGGTTGTTAGGTAAGTAGGTCAAAAGAACGAAGTTGGGAAGACACATGCCGGTGCTGGAGCTTTGGCTCTGTGACCTGGGGGGCGATTGAGGCTTGTGGAGTTATGCTGAGGGTGGAAGGCATAACTAGATCGTTCAACGAAGCGGACGCCGGGGTATTAACCCTGTAACCTGTTCAGGGGCTTGTCGTTAAGGGTAGTGTCGAGGGAGGAAGGCACTTCCTGTCCGTCAGAACTAGGTTGGTCAGAACTGGGGAAGGTTGCGGTGCCCTGTTACCCTAGCATGAAGGGGGTGTGAGATCAAGTGAGTTCTGGTACGAGGACTGAAAGCCTGGACAGACTTTCCGTCTGTTGAGGGAGGAATTTTGGATAGTAGGTTGTTTCAGTTTGACCCCCCGCTCATATAGTTTTCTATGTCTTTCCATATATTTTCAAAAAACAAAAAGACTTAGTTACTGCGGCTTGAGTGACCAAGCATTAGGTCGGTAGGTCAGCAGTTATCCATGGTTTTCTTAAAAATTCTTCTGAATTTCTTTCGTAGTTCTCATATTGTTCTTATTTGAAATTCTTAGATTGTTCTTAGTCGAAACCAGTAGTTATCCAAGGTTTTCTTAAATTTCTCCTGAACTCTTGTCGTGGTTCTCAGATTGTTCTTAGCTCAAATTCTCAAGATTGTTTAGGATGGGAATATGGCACAGCAACAGCGGAGATGGTGGCTCTGCCGCAGTAAGTCTTGCCGGAGTGGAGTACAGGGGAAATCGGGTTGAGTGGCAAGGGGGCTAGCTGGTGGGATGGGAATAGGGTACAGCAGCAGCGGAGATGGTGGCTGTGCTGCAGTAAGTCTTGTCGGAGTGGGGTACAGGGGTTGATAGGGGGTGTCTGAGTCCTTTTCTGAATTCTGCATATATCTTTGTTTCTCAAAAAAAGAGGTGAGTAGGAGAAATAGATGGTGGGTTATCAACCGTCCTCCTAGTGAGGGGGCTAGCTTGTAGGATGGAAATAGGGTACAGCAGCAGCGGAGATGGTGGCTCTGCTGCAGTAAGTCTTGCCGGAGTGAGGTAAAGAGGATTGATGGGGGGTTTCTGAGTCATTTTCGGAATTTTGCCTATTTCTGACTTTCGTAGTAGTAATTTTCTAAGTAACTCATTTTTTCTTAGCCAAAGCCGGGTAATGGCCCCGGTATCTCAAATTTTCCAGATTCTATGTAAATTTCCATATGGGACGCTGGGCCCGGTTCCCAG